ACATGATGCTTCACACTCGACGGCTGAGGTTGCGTCGTTCATCCGACTATGTCAAACAGCGAAGGCAACCAATACACAGCGAAGATGTTAGATGCTTCCTTTCGTTCGGTATCACTTGCAGGTACACACCAGCTGATCAAGCTGTGCACATCTGTGCATCCACTGAATCGCCGTAGCTTCGTTGGACAGGATAGGCAAGTCAGCTCCTGCCCCCCTGCAAAATGCGCAGCAGAGCCACACAAACAAACAAACCATCAAACAAACAAACAGACAGACAGACAAACAAACAATTAAGCAAACACACACACACACACACGCACACACACACACACACACACACCCGCACACACACACACACTCCTGCAATCCACCCTCTGGCTTGTCTATGTTGACTCGTAAAGCTATTTGCAGTTGTAGGCGGTTTAAGGATTTTCGTCGACATGCCAGGTTTGTGGCTTTGCTTGGTTGCCATGCGGAATCAAAAGACTGGACGAACCCTGAAACGTTTCACCTGCTGATTTGCTGTGACTAACAAAGCACAACCACGATCTTGAAATGTCAGGTGACAGGTTGGCTCATTTCTTTTATCGCTCCGCTGTTGAGTCTTGCAACTGTTAAGCTTTGAGACCAGTTGGGCCCAACCAGTCACCAGTCACTGTCTTTGCTGATATCCTCCCACAGTTTGCCCTCAGTTGAGATGCGGGTCGAGATGCTCGTTGGACACCGTTCTTAAACGCCCTGGCTGCTGCAGCTGTCGGATCTGTCGGTCGGCAAGCACTGCGGTGCTGCAGCTGCTGGGTAAGACATGCGAACTGCAGATGCTTGGCAGTATTAGTAGGACATGCGCCGCAGGCCTGCGGCCTGCGGCATTCTGTAAGACTGTAAGACCTGCGAAATGCAAGCGCAGTCCTCTAACGGGGTTTGCTTTGCCCAACGTGGGCCACTCCTTTCCTTTTCGTTTCCTTTTTCCACGTTTGTCGTTTCAGAGTCACATTTTTCTTTCTCGCAGTCGGCAGCCTTGTTCAAGCCACAGGGGCGCCCTGCAGCTGCCTCAAGGCGTCACAGCCAACCGCCAGCCCTCCTGCAGAGCCTTTTGTCTTTCGTGTGTTTTGTCTTTCTTCTTCTGTTTGTCCAGTGTGGCTAACCTGAACCTATTCTGTGCAAGGTGGCACAATGCCCAAGTGGCTTCTTGTGCGTGGGGAACCCTGTTCCGAAATGATGCACCACAAAAAGCAGTGGGCGGAGGGCCCGCACACTCGCGCAAAACGCGCACAAGCACACGCACAATCACACGCACATGCACATGCACAGGAACGCGCACACTGTGCGCGTCTGCGGCTATTGCACAGGTTGTGTCGCCGCTGAATTGACGATCTCAACCTAGCTGGATGCCATAACATAGCAAGTCGTGTGACGACTTTCCGAAGTCTGGAATACGCATGCGATGCTGTGGAGAGCGGCGGACTTGCAGGCGTGAAGAGGCTCGAGAAGTAATTTAGCTTTCTAATTGTGGATTGGCTGTTGTCTGTGCTCCGACCAGAGCGTCGCAACACTATGCCGTCTTTTGTTGGTGTGGGCGGGGGGGTGGAGGGAAGAGAGACATGGTGCCAAGGGCAGGGTGGTAGGGGTCGTAGTAGCAATGGCCATAACAGTACGCGTAATGCTAGTAGTTCAATAGTAACGGTAAGAATAGTGGCAACAAGTAACAGCGACAGCAAAAGCAACCAACCAATGTAATCGTGTATGTAATACTGACCGAAGTAACAATACCCATAGCAACAACACTAGCAATCGTAAAACCACAGCAACAGCAATAACAAGGGAAGCAATGTCAGTAAGCGTAATCGTGATAAATATAAATATAGAGTAACCGTGACAGCAACAGAGCCATTCTGGCCAAGGCCTAGAAGCCAACGCCCAAAGCCAAGACCGGAAGCGGAGAAGGCAAAAGCAAAGCAACTCCTGAAACAAACCGACCTCCTGTGAAGATCATAAGACAACAACATTCCGGGGCCCCGCGCCCATTCCACCGGCGGCAGCTTGGGAATGGCCTGTAAATGTCAAGGAAGCACAAAACGGCAACGCGGACCAGAACAGTCTCGACGCGCCCCAATCGAGACGCAAGCCTCCAAGAATTTCACGACCTGAGCGGCTGTTAAATGCAGTGCACGCAACAAGGTGGAGACTTTTTGAGCTTCGGGCCGGTGCGATGGAACCTGTGGAACACCGTGCCTGATGTGTGGCTATTTGGTTTGACCTTGCCAGCTGCACGAGGCTTTAGATACTCTTTGCAATGACGTGAAGCTGACTAAGCGCATCGGCGCACGAATGCAAAGCTCCACCGCAGGCAAATCCAGGAATTCGATTACCTGCACATGATCTCTGCATGCTATGAGCTAATGAAAGCTGCACGCACAAAAATAGCTCCGCAACTACAATAAAAACCATCAAGCTCAAGACAGTGCAAGGAAGTAGTGTGGCATACTGCCTTTAGAGCCAGCTTGAAATGCCCGTTGACCATCAAGAGCTCTGCAACCTGTCCCAAGCCAGGCAAGGAATAAGGCACAGTTGCTTTGAGACACTCTGGATCGTGCTGCAGATCTCGGCTCCCTTTGGTTTGCATCGACATCGGCAGCATCTGCTCGTGACTATGGCGCATCCCCAAGGCCGCAGGATGCTGCGGGTTGTCCAGCTTCTGACTAGTCTCAGTGTTGATGACATCGCGTCCAGATTAACGGATGAAGGGCTGCTGAAACCGTTTCACTACGTGAGATTGCCAAAACTGCAGAACGTCGAATATCACGTCCCTGAAGAGCCATTCGCTGCTTCTGACCCCTGACTAGTATCAGCTGGACGCTGAGGGGAAGAGGATACCCAAATTTCTCAGAAGCTTTCCCAGGGAGGCAGGTTCAGCTTGCCTCCTGCCCTCGTCGACATGCAGCCTGCTTTCCTCAAGCCCTCCAGATACCTCCCCTTTGCAGCAGACCCTGCCTCGCACTGTGCCGGGAGGTCACCGAAGAGCACGGCATTTTGAGGCATGCTCGTGGGCATCGCCTGACGCGGAAGCATTTCTGTAAAAAGACTAGGAATGCGAACGGCTGCTGGCTACTAGAACAAGCCTCGCAGACAGCGCGTTGGATCCGGACGGTTTCCAGATTCCTCTTGATGTCGGCCTCGGAGCTGCAGCCCTACGAAGACGCTCACAGCAGGACCCGACCCTGTGGGATGGCTCTCCCTCGTTTAGGCTCACGACGATCCCCATTTTGGCTTCCAGACTGACAGCGTCTCCCGACCTTTCTGCATATTGGCTCGTAACGGCTTGATCCAAGCCTGCAGTCCTATGCCGAGCCCTTGGCGCCGTCATGCTCTCCTGCGCTGCGGCGCTGGGATTCTCTGAAGTCCCATCACCAGTTCCTTGGCACTTAGTCCCTCGAGCTAACTCCAACTGTAATCGCGTAAGAAGATTCCGTACAAGGTGCTTCATCGCCACTGTATCCACCGCGAGAGTCGACTGAGTTCTGCGCCGTCCTTCCCCTCCCCCTTCCTCGCTGGTGGCACAGGTTCAAGCACGGCTAGTTGCTGCTGCATTCTGTTGTGTCTGAGAGCTGCACTTTCGGCTCAAGAGTTTCCGGTGAGCAAACCCAAGGTGAGCTTCTGCATTTTGGAGGTGTCCCACCTCCAGCTCCATAACGTGCCCTTGCGATGCCTTGCGGCCTCTTCCTCTCGCCGCCAGCTCGGGTCAAGTCTTCGAGCTCAGGAATGGACCCGGGCATCCCAGGTGGACGACTGCACGAAAAGCCTCGAGACAGTTCCGCCGTCCAGATTCTCAGAGCACTTCGAGCATAGGAGCCCAGGCGAGATGGCGAGGAAACCTGCATTGACAAAGTTCCTCGTAAAGACCTCCGAGGCCCGGGGCTCATGATCCCCGGCCACAGGGGATTCAACTTGCGACTGCCACGTGCGCAGCCGTCGTAAGGTGCAGGCTTCGTAGGAATACAGCAAGTCCAGCGCACGTCTGTCACGCAAAAATTCCTGATATAGGAAGTGCACAGCATCCTTCAAGGATACAAGAGATACACCAGCCAGCCAATGCATGTGCCTTGACGGAGTTCAAGTATTCCTGCACTTTTTGAAGTGAGGGGTCGAAGTCCAGGATCACCTACATTCGCGATCATTCCCGGTGGATTTTCTCTGACGATCGCGACAGAAAGCTCTAACAAGGCCTTCTGCAACTCATGGAACTGGTTGTGTGCCAGACAATGATGCGCGACGACGTCCACGAACCTCAAGAAACCAAGATCTCATCGAACGTATGCAGGGGCGGATCCGTCCAAGAAAAGAGCAGGCGCTTGTCTGCTTTTTCATTGAAGATGTACTGACATGCCTGCGGGGCTTCACGAGTTCCAGGGCGCAGAAAGGGTCCCTCGGCGCCTGAGCAAGGCGGCGTTCCCGGACCAGCAGAGAGATCAGCGACTCAGCAGAGCCATAGTTTTCCTGTCCAGAGCAGTTTTCTTTGTCACAAGCGTCTCTGCAAAAAACGATTGCCTGAAAACACAAGAGCTCGTAGAAGGAAGCCGTGCTCAACCTCAACAGTTTCAAGTGGCTTCGTCTTCCAATGCGGACCGAGCTCGTCTTACGTGTGTGTGTGTATATATGTATGTATGTATGCATGTATATATATATATATAATTTTCTTTTACATTCGTTAATCGCATCACTCGGCTACTGCATTCGCTCTACACATCTTGTTCCTTTCACTGTGCACCGCATCGATTCCTGTAGAACCTGTGTATCGACCCACAGGAAGTGCTTTGGTAACACATCCGGATTGGCATCCTGCCGGCAACCCCGGGTCTACACCCTGGCTTCCGGTACTGCCTAGAACCTACCACGGTTCCGATTCCTTACCGGATGCTGTCGAGTCCAAGACGAGCCCGAGCCCGCGCGTCGACCCGCACCTGTGCTCGACTGGCAACTGGCTCCATGGACGGGTCTCGCCACCTGCGCTCCCCTTGCCGCCAGTCCCTCCAAGTAAGCCAAAGCTCGGCTCCCTGTACCAGCCGCGGGTGGCTGTTCTGCGCGACCCGTTCCACCAAGACATAGACATGGGTCGGCAGAATGTCCGAGACGGCGAGGCCGGACCAAGCCGCATGGGCCTCATCCTCTGTAAGACACTGGGTGCACTGCTCCACCAGAGCGATTGGAGGTGTGCCCGTCTGCACCAACACATCCCTCCGGGTGAACGACCCCACAAAAGGAAACTGGAATCCGCCTCTATGGGCCCGGCATCGCGTGCAGTTAAGGTCAACACAGGCAGCGATGGGAGATCGCGAGGTCTCGCCCTCCAATCCACACACGACGGCGCAGCGAACGCAGCCCTAAAGGTGTGATACCCACACCCCTCGGACAGATTACGCTGATATGCCATAGCAAGCGAGCACCTCCAGAGGCTAATCAAAAGAATCTGCCTTTTTGGCTCAACTGCCAAGGCTTGACCCAAAAGGCAGGATGGACGAGAACAAATGATTCATGTGCACCCAAGCCTGCCAAAGTCGACACATGACAAAAAGATATGTATGTATGTATGTATGTATTTATGTATGTATGTATGTATGTATGTATGTAGAGCTTCAACACATCGCCTCCGTCGGGATGCTCACTTTACCCTGGCTCCCGCCGACTGGCTGCGCACTGTCAAGGTAGGTTGGTCGGTTTGTGGAGGGATCGAACATGAGCCGCCTCTTGCTTCACGCGCTGCGATCCAAGAGGCCGCCCGGAAGATGAGCTGAACGCACAAAATAGCGGGGCCGCTGAAGGCAAGGCCTCAGGCAAGTGCTGGCAGCAGGCCATTTGAGCAACAAATCCACAAACGACAACAAACCTCAGTGCGTAGGATGGAAGAAGAAAGAACGACAGTGTCGTACCATGACAATTAGGGCCTAGGGTTGTCTGATGCCATGAGACTGGGAAAGACAATTGAGGTGTCCGGCGAGCTGATGCGTTTCGCAAGGAGGTTCAATTCGCATGCGGCAGGAATTCGGATTGATGCGTGACATATTCCTTCCACTACAACAGCACAACAACCCAAAAGCTCTTGAATGTGAACGTCTGATATGTGCCAGTTCTGAGCCATGTGCCATGGGGCTGGCTTGCATGATGCTGTGGGTCTCGCGATCCTCTGGCCACAAGTTGCTCCTCAGGGCACCAACAGTCAACACCACGTTAACGGACGTTTGTCACTTGACTCACGGGCGCAGCGCTCTGACATTTTGTGCTAAGCTATGTGCGGGCTGCGCAAGTTCTGAGAGGAAGAGCAGCCACAGCATATGCTGGACATGTCCTGCGTTGGTGGGGGTTGCATGCTGGCTTTTCGTTGCACTAGAAGCCCGAGACAGCAGAAAGACAGACAGACGCTTGAAACTCGAGAAGCTGGTATCTCATTCCAGAAATGATGTCAAATCCCAGGTCTCACGATCAGAGAATCAAAAGTTTGAGCGTGCGGAGCAAAAAAAAAACGTTAAGGAGAAACTGCTGTTTTGAGGTTCTTGGCCTGGCCCGTCATGTACAAACGTTGGCGCCACATCGGGCTGTACGATGTCTCAAGAAGCGCAGGTCTGGCAGGATGGCCAATCCGCGGGTGTCTTCCAGGACTAGCTTCGTCGGCATTGGTCATCCTAGTGTCATCCTGGGCCTGTGCCACCCTCTTCCGACAACGTGCAATTACTTCGAGACGGTTCCTTTCGAACGTCGAGTGCTGCACACAGACACTGACAGGGTCTAGGAGTGATCATGCAATAAGGACAAGGGAACTTTCACCCTTGTCTGAAATGTCCTCCAGCTGCCACACAGGGCCCATAAGTCTAAAAACTGAAAACATTCTCAGGCAAGCCGAAAAAGGCTCCGACTTTCATGGTGGATTGAGTCCTGTCCACCGTGGTTTGAAGGTACCGGAAACTGCGCATGGCTAGGGAGAAGACCGTCATGCCCTGCAAAAGTTTATGGTTACTTATCACCATGCTCAAGTGTGTACACACACATGCACTCGCACACACTCGCACGCACGCGCACGCACACGCACGCGCACGCACGCGCACGCACGCGCGCACGCGCGC